CCCCCCCCCTCGCGTGGGGACCGTCACCACCCGAGGGGGCCAGCCCAGTCGCCCCCACAGGGTCATTCCCCCCTCCCCATCGGCTCCCTCCAGCGTGGGGACCCCCGGGGCCTGGGGACGGGTCTCTTGCTGCTCCGGCTTTATATCCCGTAATGTGCCATGTGGGAGATGCCATGTTTAGTTACGGCGCTCTCTCGGTTTTTTTGGGGGGGTGCGGCGAAAGTTTATGCTAGTTTGCTGGCAGGCTGCCTTCACCTCGTCCTGTACCTGAGGGGTTAAGCCATCGGTAAAGTTTTATCTGGGAGAACAGTGTTGCTGGTACAGTAGGTCTCTGTATGTTTGTTTATTTGTTTTTTTTTCTTTTTCCTTTTTTTCTAGCGCATTGCTTCTTTGTCCGTTTGAATGGTTGCTTATTATGGATTGCAGTCTGTCTGTTTCTTTCCTCTAACTTATGTGTAGCCAGCCGCTAAAGCTGATTTTAAAAAGCATCTGTAGAAGTTTATTTGTTATCTTATTATAATGCATTGCTGGTATTTAGTACTGTTCTTTAATTAAAAAAAAAAAAACAACAACTAATTCTTTCCAGTCATCTCGATTGTTGAAAGTATTCCAGACGCTGTCTTCCCCATTAAAATCTCGTAGTTTAGCAAAATTTATGTTTAGAACAGAATTGGAACAGACTTTTATTTCTGCAAAAGCAGCCCAAACTACTTGATGGACTCCCCTATTAATACAGTAATGAGAGAGGGGGCTTGAGAGGAGGGGGGAATTTTTTTTTTGGGTTCTCATTAAGACATGCGCATTTGTTCGTTCTTGCCACTGCACTGGAGTCTGCCTAGAAACAAAGAACACAGCCTGGCGAAGTTGATGCTGGCTCTGCAAGTGTCTGGCTTTTTTTTTTTTTTCCTTCATCATTTACTTGTGCCATAGTTAAAAGCTCTAGATATTTCCATGAATTATTTCCATGTGTCTGCAGATAGACACCCCCACCCCCTTCCCGACCCTACCAGGCCAGGGCTACGCATTTCGGAAAGTGCAGCCATGACAGATAGAGCAACTTCTCCCATTTTCACCCAGCCCTGCTGGTATGACAGTTCTCGGTAGGTGTGCCTTCGCCGGGGAGCCACCCCCTTGCTGAATCATTGTGGAGCGATGGCCGGACAGCTCGTCTGCTCAGGGAGCAAAATATTCCCCTATAGATCATGAAGTGCTTTTAAGGTGAGGCAAGAAGAAAGTAAGGGACCTGTTAGCGTTTGGTTGAGGCTCTCGCGTGCAGCTGTACTTTGAGGGGGAGAGCCTTTTCCTTTTGCGGCGAGCAGTTGCTGTAGATGCAGTTTTGAGCTCAAAAGCAAAATGCATGCTGCTGTAAGGAGCAGCCCTGCCTTTGAGGTAGCGAAACTGGTGTACTCTGAGGGATTGCTCCTGCAGCTTTTCCTTCCGCAAAAACTCCTTTTGCATGCGGGTAGGCTCCGTGCAAGATCAGCACCTGTTTTGGGGAGCAGCGTGTGAGTTTGTGGTATCGTGAAGCGATGGTTATTAGCAGTAATCTTGTGATGTGTTTATACAGATGAGTGTGTGAACAGTATAGTGTCATGACTGTGTTATTCGCCTAAAATGAGTTTGTTGTTTATTCTGCATTCGTGAAGGTCATTGTCCTCATTCCTGCAAGGAAATAGTGACTTTTTTCTTTTTTTTCCACCCGCCCTGGGGTGTGTATGTGTGTGTCAGATACTGAAGTGCTGCTGGGTGTTATTCCCTTTATCCAAAGGATGCCAAAAAGTACTGAAGTAAGAAGTGAGATGAGAAATCTTGAGTGGGGTGTATCGGGCGAGACTAAATTATAGTAGTTGTTGGACATGTAATGTGATCCTATAATTAGAGCGAGGTAATAGTCTATACCATGTTGAAACTATTGAGTGTCTGGGTTGGAAGTCTGAATTAAGCTAGTTCTCCTGGGATTATGCAGTAGCAGAAGTAATGCGGTTAAAGTTTCCATGCAGCAGCTTCCATGGGGTTGCAGAGATGTTTTCCCCCCCCATGGGCCCTCCTTGTGGGTTATTTTGCTTTTAATGTAGTATGTAGAGGCTGCAATGATGCTGCTCTCCTAGTTGGAGCAATGCCTTACATGGCACAGTTCTGCTCCCTGGAGCTTTATTTACAAATGAAGGCCCTAATTCTGCATCTCAGCCCTGGGAAAAACCCCAGAAGGATGGGCTGTGGCACAGGCCTTACTTACGGGTTCAGCTTTTGAGTCATTCGCCAGACTGAAGGATTTAAAACACTTTGTAATTTGATCTTAACTTCCCTGCCCCCACCAGTCTATATCCTGAGAAGAATTGTGTTATCAAGCTGGTCTAAAGCCCACATGCCTTGGTTTTTCCAGCGCTGCCTGTCAGTGGGGTGAGATCCTCGTGGTGTTATTGAGCAGGTCTGATTTGCTCTAGTATTATACTACTCCGCTGCCAGAGCCTTGGCAATACAATTAAGCATATGCCAACCTTAAAGCTGTGCAATGTTGTTATGTGTGGGCACTAGCCCTTCTTACAAATGCTAATTTCCCTTGATGTGTGTGCGTGTATATATAGACCTAGTGCATATTTAAATGAACTCATTTTAGAGTAGTGATGGCCCAGAAAAGTTTGAGAGCTATTTCAGCATTTGAGTGTTTCTGTTTGAAAGACAATGGACTATAGAGAAGCTTCTAGGTATTGTGGGATGCTTTTATGGCAAAAAGGTGCAGTCTGTTCTCAGATGCTGTCGCTCTTCCCAGAAGCAGCAGTATCCAGACTGAACGCATGCATGGGTAAAATACAGCTGTATATCTGTTAGTCTGCTAGTATCTTCCAAGTGAGACATGCTGATGGGGGTCCAAAGCAAACCAGAAGGTTAGGAAGGCTGTTAACCCCTGGGTGCTGTAATCCCCTTGCACCTCTGTCCACCTCCTGCAGTATCTGGCCAAGTCAGAAGTCAGAGAGCTACTTCCTTCCCCCCACCAAGGGGGAGTGAGGTGTCTCCAGGGAAGGTGAGGGACTAGATCTGCTGACTGGCCTCTTCCCTTGCTGCCATTTCTCCCTGCCCTGTGCTGGACCTTGTGCCACAAGAAGGTTACCAAAGAGTAGGGGTGCCGGGCAGTTGTCTAGCTGAGGTCTTGATGCCGCAGGAAGGGATGCAGTTGTAGATGACTCTTCTAGTGGTTTTCATGCCCAGCTCCACTTTGGGAGTAGTAGTAGCCTGCTTGGCCTCCTGGTTATCTGTTGGGGAATGGCTTGCATGAAGCCTAGCTGGTGGTGTTAGATTTTATGCACCTAGCATTTTTCTCCTGCGCTTGTCCCAGCTTAGCAAGATGGATTGCTCTTAGTGTTTTGCACTTGGGCTGTCCCCAGAAGTGAGATTTTGAGGGGTTGTCTGGTGTGTTTAAGGGAGCATCAGAGTAGGGCTCAAACTTGTGATTACAACTTGTGAAGTTTTAGCTTTCTTACCTCTTGCAGTATAGCTTCCAAATCTGTTTTGAAGTGGATGGTGCAGTGAAAGAAGTGATCCTGCTCCCAGGCCTTTGCTCCAGTCTCTCCATCGTCCTCCTGGATTAAAAGCAACCTTGCAAAAAAAGGCCAAGAGAAGAATGCTTGTTTTAACTGGTACTGTTTCCCTGGTTCACTTCTCCACGTGGCCACGCAGAGTTGTGTTGGTACAAGGACCTGCGTTATACAGACAGAACAGGGTGAGGCTGGACTGCTGCTCTTGTTAGCAGCACTGGCTTATGATGATTTAAACTGTAAAACTGCATCGCTAGTGTCTTGCAAATGGTTTGACTTGTGCGTGGAGAAAGATCCATGACTTTCCTAGTCACCAGTGCCTGCAGCTTAGTCAGGAACCTGAAAGCAAATCAGGGTTTTCTTTGTGGCTAATGCAGGCACAGGTGATGATTATGAATCTGCAGTCAGAGTTTAGTTACTGAGGCCTGCAGCAGGACTCCCTGCCATACCAGTGGTGAGAGCTTGCCTTTGGCAGTGGAGCAAACCACTGTGTGACTCAGATATGTTGGGAAAGAATACGCAATCTTTACACAAGTAGGCTTTTCTGACCATGAATGTACTAGAAGTCATGTGTGGAAACTAAAATGAGTACTAGAAATGTGATGCTCTTCAATGAGAGGGAGGCTGTATGCTGAAAAGCTGCATTTGCCTAGGCCTTGGTTTCCAAAGGCATACCTAGGAGCTGTGGCTCTTATTGTACTCTGAAGACAAAGGCTGGATGTCCAACCGAAGAACTGCTGCTTCAGACAGACATGGCATCCCACGTTTGGGTTGCTCAGGTCCAGCCTCACAGTGCCCAGCAGGAAAAAAATGCTAGAAAAGCTTTTGAAACATGATAGAAACAGTTGGTTGGGGAACGATAGCAGCCTGGAAGGGGAAGGGAGAGGATGTTTTTATTTCCGAGTAGTGTGTATTTGCCCTTAAAATCCCTGAATCTCAGACTTACTTTATTTGCTGTGTTTGCCATACGTAATATTTCAGAGAGCAGTTGCAATTTTGTATGGACGAGCTGATGCAGGAATTATTCCCTTCTAGTTGATAGGGAACCTGTTACTCATGTATAATGTACTGGATGGCTTGTTAGATTGTTTTTTGAACTTATTTTTTAGTCAGTATATTTCAGACCTCTGGGCAGCACACACATCTTTCTCTAAGGCAGTGCTCGGGTCCTAATTTGGTACATGATTTAAGCACAAACTTGCATCTCATGTTAAAACATGGTCTTTAAGCTGGAGCATTTAGAATACCAAAGCAATTTGCAATTCTGTGTTCATCTTTAATACAGTGTTGTGGGTACCCCAGACTTTGCCTCTACATGTGTCTACTCCTGGAACGGAATTCCTCATTGTGCCTGCTAACTATAGAAACGGTATAAACCAATCCTTTTGGTTTGCTTTCTCTAGGTTCACACATAGCTTGTTTGCCTGAATTTGCGCTTGTGACACTTATGCGGTTGTGCACTTCATGCCTGTTAAGCCCCGGTAGTGCATGTTCTTGTAAAAGGTGTGTGTCCTCCTGTTTTTCCATGCCAGCTTCCAGGAAGGACTGTCTACCCCAGACACTGTTACCTTCCCCTGTTTTAAATGGTGCCAGCAGATATAAATAGGGAGGGGGTGTGTGTGAGTACATACACACACACTTTTTTTTTTCTTCCCCCCCTTCCTCTCATCCCGATGCTAAAGAACTACCACGGGAATGAATCTTCTTGTGTAACTTGCATGGAGCAAATCTGTGGCTTGGCCTGTTCAGTTACCGGGCCCTGCTCAAAAAGGGTAAGGTCCTCCTGAGCTGAAGTCAAGGTGCTGAGATCAGATGTTCATGTGCTTTTTGTAAAAGCACATACACTGATAGTGAGCTGAAAACCGGTGGCCTTTAGAGCTTGGTATTTTATGTCTGAGGGCTTCTGAATGCATAAAATCAGAGAGAATGTGCCTGTGTAATCCGATCTGTTCTTGAAAGCCTTGCAGAGAGCTGCATGCTGCAGACATAAGCTGTGTCAATAAGAACTCTATTCACTCTCTGAAAACAGCCTCGTGATCAGGTTTGATTGGCAGGCTTCCTAAGGGAGGGCTTTTTTTTGAGAAAGAGCTCAGATTTTGGCGGCACTTCTGATTGCTTTTTTGGACTCCCATTTATTGTTCTTTCCTTGGCATAATAAACTTGGATTTGTTGGGAGGCTTCTCAGGCACAGCGAGAATTTCGTGCAGTGAGATAACGTGAGTGCAAAGAGAGTTTTCTTTCTCACAGTGCAACCTCTCTGCCAAAGCAGCATTTAGGAATGTGAAGGTGACAGATTTAAAAGAATATGAGGTAGGACTGGAAATTGCTGTGTGTGGGAGAGTGTACTCATGTGCGCGCTCAGGGTACTTTACTGCAAAACAATGGCACAAAACACGTGCCCTTGTAAAAGTCACAGTTTGTAATGGGCAAAATATGTGTTTGTGCACATTTATGGGCTTTTTTTTTTTAATCCCTCAATTCTATACAAGTTTATATATTACCCAGAAGTGTGGTAGGGTGAAATTCTGCTTTCGGCATAAGTGTTCTGTGAAGCCAATGTCGTACTAATTACCGTAATTTTGCCTGTTGTTGTTGTGCTTTTTTGTTTGTTTGTTTTTAATCCACACAAATCAAAATTTTTATTCTACTTTATTTTATACGTGGCATGTGATCTTTTAAAATCTT